GGGGGATAATCCAATAAAAAGAAAAAGTCATGACAATGATAAGTCAATACATATCAGTTATAACCGTCAATGTTAATGGTCTCAACTCACCAATCAAAAGAAACAGACTGGCAGAATGGGTCAAGAAGCAAGATTCAACAATATGCTGCATACAAGAAATACACTTAATTCAAATAGAAACTCATAGACTGAAAGTTAAAGGATGGAAAACAGTACTCTGTGTGACAGGAACCCGAAAAAAAGCAGGAATAGCTATCCTCTCTGCAGACCAAGTGGATTTCAAACCCACACTGATTAAGAGACACAAAGAAGGACACTACATACTTGTAAATGGAGAAATCCAACAGGAATAGATGACAATCATAAATATATATGCACCAAACACTAGTGCCCCCAACTATAAAAAACAAATACTAATGGACATGAAAAATCATATAGGCACTAATACAATAGTAGTGGGGGACATGAATACCCCATTGTCACAAAGAGATAGATCAACTAGACAAAAAACAAGCAATGAAATACTAGAACTCAATCAAACTCTTGAACAAATCAACTTAACAGATGTTTACAGAGTGTTCTACCCCACAAAAATCAGAATACACATTCTTCTCAGCTGCACATGGATCGTTCTCCAAAATAGACCACATACTTACTCACAGAACATATTTAGGTAAGTACAAAGGAACTGAAGTTATCCCCTGTATATTATCAGATCATAGTGCGATGAAATTGGAGATCAATAGCAAAAGAAACCACAAAAATTTCATAAATACATGGAACACACTTCTGAATAACCAATGGGTCACAGAGGAGGTTAAAGAAGAAATCAGCCAGTTCCTACAATTAAATGACAATAACAGTACAACATACTGGAATCTATGGGACACAATGAAAGCAGTCTTACGAGGGAAATTCATAGCAGTGAACACTCATATTTGGAAAACAGAGTGAGCCCAATTAAACAACCTGATGCTTAACCTCAAGCTTGTAGAAAAAGAAGATCAGGACAAACCCAAAGCACATAGAAAGGAGGAAATTATAAAGATCAGGGCAGAAATCAAGACAATGGAGACTAAGAGAATGATACAAAAAAATCAATGAAGCCAAGAGTTGGTTCTTCGAAAGAATAAACAAAATTGACAAACCCTTAGCCAA